ATTTTTTAGATTAGATTTGGAGGATGAAACCCTCTTGAATGCTCACACATTCATGCACAGAGTGACATTTGACCTCTGCTTGTAACCCATCCTAGTATAGCTATCGACCGGGCCCTCTCCAAGTAGCAGTCCACACTCCATTTTTAGGTCTGTTCGGGGACTTGAACCGACAACCCTACGGCAGTTATTGCACATCAGAAGTCTGGTAGCTCTGTGTACAAATGTGCAAAATAATCTGAGGGTTGTGTGAAGATAGAAAAGTGAATATCTCGTTTAATATCCAAGATGTACAGAAATATTTAGCTGTTTAAGTTTTAACCTGTAGGAAGACAGAACATTTGTTTTGCCACCCCCCCCCCCCCCCCCCCCTCCCTGTAGGTGTCCACATGCCTCTAGAGTTTCATTAATTTGTTTACAAGTTGGTCAGATCTTTGTGAAAAGTTTTAGTGAGATCTATCGAGGGTGAAGAATCTGATAAAGAAGAATCCACAGAGCGGAGCTGTTCACTTTCTGAGGTGCAGGTTACTTAACATGTAGCATTTCAAACAGGTTGTATGTTTTCATATCTGTTAACATAATCTGCCTTGTTTTATAAAATTACATTGTCTTTTTAGAAACTATTAATGGCTGGTGAATATAATGTGACATATATAACTTTTGATGGGCATGTGGAAGTGCAGAGATATAGATATCTGTATTTTGTGATCATGTTAACAATTTATGTTCTGATCATCTGCAGTAATTCCACTATTGTGTGCATCATTGTTATTCACAAAAGCCTCCATGAGCCTATTTACATGTTCATTGCAGCTTTGTTGATTAACTCTGTTCTGTCCAGCACTAACATCTACCCAAAGCTTCTGATTGACTTTTTATCAGAGAAACAGATCATATCTTATCAAGCTTGTCTGTTTCAAACTGTGATTTATATGACTTCGACCTTTTCAGAGTTTTTACTGTTGGCAGCCATGGCCTATGACAGATATGTGTCTATATGTAAACCTCTGCATTATTCAACCATCATGAGAAAAAGAACTGTCAATGTCTGTCTGCTTTTGTCTTGGCTTCTGCCGACTTGTGAGAGTGCAGTGGGAATTTTTTTTTTTTGCCAATAGCAAACTCTGCAGTTTCACTTTAAGGGGGATTTTTTGTAACAATTCAATTTACAATCTTCAGTGTGTGAGCTCAAGCGCTCTCTCTGTATATGGAGTGTTCATGTTGGTAAATATGTCACTTCTGCCTCTTATCTTCATACTTTTTACATACACCAGGATACTTATACTATCATATCAAAATGGTAGAGAATACAGGAGGAAAGCTGCACAGACCTGTTTACCCCACCTGTTGGTTTTAATCAGCTTTTCTTTTCTTATTTATTTTGATGTTGTTATAATTCGTCTAGGGTTAAATATTCCCAAAACACCACGTTTGATATTGACTTTGCAAATAGTTTCCTATAACTCCCCTCTTCAACCCAATCATATACGGACTGAAAATGAAAGAAATCTCTAAACACCTCAAGATGTTGTTGTGTCGGGTCAAATCACACTAATACACTTAACACAAAAAGTAAGGAAATGTGTGTTTGGTAGATGATGGTAGCTGAGCATCCCACCAATGTATGTTCCTCATAAATGTAGTACCATTCAAAAAGGGAAATAAACAGGCTTTCCACAAAATATGATTTACTGCCAAGAAGCATTGTTACAACAAAGAAGTCATCTACCAAACACACATTTCCTGTTGTGCTAGGCTTTGTACTATATTTTAGTTTAGTAATTCCACAAGTGTATTAGGAAAGAGCAACTCATGACACTACAACGCTTTCTTTTACCAATTGTCTTTGAAGCAGATTTCAAGTGAAAACCTCTAAAATAGTTGACAATATCTACCTTTGTTCAGTTTCAAGATTTGCTCTTCCATAATAAAGGATACAAGGAGTGAATATTCATTCTTATGTAGCCTATATTAATATGTTATTTGTCACTTTAGGAGTGTTTGTTTTGCAGGGGGTTTAACTCAGAGCTGAATACTTGGAGACATTTCACTCAAATAGACTCTATATATACATTTATATATATATAAATATGATTAAGGGTGGAGGCCATTTCTGTGTTTGATTAACATTTAAGTCACGTGTTTTGCGTGCTGGTGATATTATGCAGGAGAACATATCTGTCCTTTTGCAGCATTTAGAGTCACCTTCCTGCCCGGCTTTATGTCATTGCTTTCTGTCTCTGTGTTTCTCTGATGATGTTTATCACAGGAAAATAAAGTGGTATTTAACATTTGAAAGGTTGAAAACTTGGTGGGTTTTTTTGCACACACAAAAGACTCCATAAAATGCAGATGATGAAAAATTAAGAAATGTGACAGAAGAGATCAGGAAGTCACAAACAGAAGTCTTTTGTGTGTTACACTCTGAGGTCAAAGAGGTCAAGATATGGTGTGTGTGTGTGTGTGTGTGTGTGTGTGTGTGTGTGTGTGTGTGTGTGTGTGTGTGTGTGTGCGTGCGTGCGTGCGTGCGTGCGTGCGTGCGTGCGTGCGTGCGTGTGTGTGTGTGTGATATGATGCAATGTTTTCAGATGAGAGCAGTGTCCACAGAAGCTGATGGAATGAGGGTCATTAGTGGGCCCACACACACACACAGACACAGAGGTGGAAGAAGTTTAACTTAAATAAAAGTTGTAATATCACAGTGTATAATTAGAAGTATCAAAACTGAAAGTATTTTAAGAACTGTTTTTAGTTCACCTCTGGATTACAATGAGGGACTGGGAAAGGTTAAAGTCCACTTTTAGTTTTGGAGACACTCTCACTGGGGGGGTCGTTTGTTTTGAAAGACAGACGTTAACAATGCAGGAAATGTCCAAAGGGTTATCTGAGAATAACCTTCCAACTTCACATTTATTATCCCAGCATGCAATGTGTGTTATTTAATGACGATAAACAACAATTAGTTGGTCAACATACAGGGACAAAGTTATTAGAAGTCTCTCTCTGTGTGTGTGTGTGTGTGTGTGTGTGTGTGTGTGTGTGTGTGTGTGTGTGTGTGTGTGTGTGTGTGTGTGTGTGTGTGTGTTTGCACCTAAGTAATATGATGCAATGTGTTCAGATCACAGCCGTGTCCACAGAAGCTGATGTAATGAGGGTCATTAGAGCCCCTCCCCCCCCTCTCCGGACTACAGCCAGTGTACATAGAGCTAATTATGACCCAGTGAGTCTCAGGGGGGGGGGAGGGGGGGGCTCTCTGTTGTCACGAACACAACACACACTCACCTGAGCTGCTGAGTAGCTGAGGTGATTATCTCAGTAATTGGTCCGAGGCGCTCAACAGAAAAGGTTTCTCCTTAGTCCTCTGAGGAGAGAAACTTTGGCCTGTTAGCAAACACATTAACAACAACTTTATAAGATCATTTAATATAAGAAACGGTTATATAATATACAGAGTAATACAAAATAATACGATGTAACACGTTATAATAATTAACATAAATAATAATAAAGTGAGACATAATTATGTTTTCTGTGATCCACTCAAACATCCAAAATCCATATTAAAGATTACGTTTTACTGTCTTTGTCTGTCACACACACACACACACACACACACACACACACACACACACACACACACACACACACACACACACACACACACACACACACACACACACACACACACACACACACACACACACACGCACACACACACACACACACACACAGTCTTACATCACTTTAGGTAAACAAACTCCTCTAAAGTTAGCATTACATAACTCTTCAGGAACATATTTAAACATGACATTACAAAACTTGTAATGTAAAAGATAACTGTGTTAATGTCCGTAATGAAGTGGGGGGGTTTCATGGTGATGTCTGTTAGTTTATTGTTTACCCTATTCTCCTGTAGTGTGTACAACATGTATGAGTTTTACAATCCACCTCTCTCCTCCTCAGAAGTCTCCACATCAGTGTCCCTTACTCTGCATCATTCCTCTGCATATTGTGAGGCTTCTTACACACACAGACTGCCTATCATTTAAAAGCTTAAAATATAATGTACCTGTCACATCCTCATGATGCTGATGGCAAACATTCTACCGATGCAATAGAGAACATTCTGAATGCCTCATCAAATGGCCTTCATAAAGATCTCCTTTGCATCAGAATCAGAATCAGAATCAGAAGTTCTTTATTTTTCCCGCATCGTGGAAATGTTCATGATTACAACAGCCGATACATTTTAAAGAATGGTTAAGTATGCACACATTATTAATAACACAATAAGTAAAATCAATATAGCAGATATGTTCACCATGGTAATAAAAGTAGCAGTAGCAGGGTATATTGCACAAAGTATTATATATTTTTTAGATTAGAATTGGAGGATGAAACCCTCACACTCAGCACACAGTGAAATGTGGTCTCTGCTTGTAACCCATCCTAGTATAGCTATCGACCGGGCCCTCTCCAAGTAGCAGTCCACACTCCATTTTTAGGTCTGTTCGGGGACTTGAACCGACAACCCTACGGCAGTTATTGTACATCAGAAGTCTGGTAGCTCTGTGTACAAATGTGCAAAATAATCTGAGGGTTGTGTGAAGATAGAAAAGTGAAAATCTTGTGTAAATCCAAGATGTACAGAAATATTTAGCTATATCAGTTTTGACCTGTATGAAGACAGAACATTTGTAGATACAGCTTTGGGTCTCCAGAACATGTTGCCCCCCCCCCCCCCCCCCCCCCCCCTCCCTGTCGGTGTCCACATGCCTCTAGAGTTTCATTCATTTGTTTACAAGTTGGTCAGATCTTTGTGAAAAGTTTTAGTGAGATCTGTCGAGGGTGAAGAATCTGATAAAGAAGAATCCACAGAGCGGAGCTGTTCACTTTCTGAGGTGCAGGTTACTTTACATGTAACAGTTCAAACAGGTTGTGTTTTCATATCTTAATTCATGTATACTGTTAACATAATCTGCCTTGTTTTATACAAACTATGAATGGATGCTAAAGTAAATGTGACATATATAACTCTTGATGGGCATGTGGAAGTGCAGAGATATAGATATCTTTATTTTGTGATCATGTTTACTGCATATGTTCTGGGGCCTCATTTATAACGCCTTGCGTAGGATTGACGTGGGAAGGTTCCTTACGTAGTACAAAGCAAAAAAATAGGTACAGAAATTTTCCGACATTTTCCGATTCACAAAACATTGCGTACCGGCGAGGGAAGTGCGTACGGCACTTCCTACGCCGGTTTCCCTTTATAAATCACAATCGACTCGAAATGCCCATATTTGCCTATAAATAGTCAAAGAAACGCCCATTCATTCATTCATTCTGACTGACTGCATGAAGAAGATCGCAGGAAATGACGACAGAACAGCTAAAAAAGACATCTCACACCGTGTCAGATTTAGGTTATTTTGGGGAGGTGGAGATAAATGATATTGTTTGGTGGATGCAGTTTGAACCAGAGTAGCAGCATGGAGGTCGGATCGTCACCAACATAAATAAATAAGTGGTCCGAAAAAAGTTAATGACAAAAGAAATCCACATAACCTTCCTCAGGCAGTGTGTTTGTCCCGGGGACAGGAGACACCCCCTTGATGAGAAACTGTAAGAAATGATCGGGGAATCCCTCCGGAGTGGAGTCATGACGACTGGATCTGAATTATTTTGTTGTATTTGGTGGTTTGTGTTCCAGCTGTCGATCAGCAACTATATATCCATAATCCACCAGTTAAAGGAAATACAATGTGTTGTGTTATATTAGCTGTACAATTTACCACATATGGTGTTCTTAGTTTCCATACCTCCTGTGTTTTACGAGCGACTTATCAAGTCTTGGCAAACGGCATAAAACACGATTAAACGTGATAGGATATAAAACCATGCTCGTATCTACAACCTATAGAAATGCAAAACGGCGTCAGTTTAGACGTAATTCTGTCCTCCTGCTTACCGCGTCATTTATGAGAAAACATTTCATAACATGAACACAACATATTCGAGGTGGTTTTAAATAACATATCCGTATTTATTTATTTCTCCAAGTTATGTTTTTGTGTGCACTGAGGAGTCTCAAACAGGCGTTTGTTTCATCATTTTAAGATTGGCTTTAATCAATGTTTGAAAATGAATTCTTCATATTTGATAAATGAGAGGTAACATTTTATTTATGGTATTATTTCCACATATTTCTCTCCCTTCTTCCTTCTGCCAACGGTGTCGCAGTTTCTCGTCTCTCCCGTTTGTGTGCTTAGTGCGTACGCATGGGTTAGAGTTTGCGTGGAGGACCGCACATTTTCCCGTCAAGTTAGTATTTTATAAATCGCAAACATTGCGTAGAAACTGGCGCACGCCATTTTTTGAGCGTATATCCCTTTATAAATGAGGCCCCTGATCATCTGCAGTAATTCCACTATTGTGTGCATCATTGTTTTACACAGAAACCTCCATGAGCCTATGTACATGTTCATTGCAGCTTTGTTGATTAACTCTGTTCTGTTCAGCTCTGCTGTCTATCCAAAGCTTCTGATTGACTTTTTATCAGAGAAACAGATCATATCTTATCAAGCCTGTCTGTTTCAGTGGTTTCTTTATTACTCTTTTAATGGTTCAGAATTCTTCCTGTTGGCAGCAATGGCCTATGACAGATATGTGTCTATATGTAAACCTCTGCAATATCCAAATATCATGAGAAAAAGAACTGTTAAAATGCTCCTGATCCTAGCTTGGCTTCTGCCTGCTTGTCAGGTTTCAGTGCCGATGATATTGAGTGCTAACAAAAAACTCTGTACATTTAATTTGAAAGCAGTACTATGCAACAGCACGGTTCAAAAACTGTATTGTGTGACTTCAAGACTGGTATTTCTATATGGCATTGTTGTTCTTGTAGTGTCTGTACTTTCCCTCGTGCTCTTCATTCTTTTCACATACATCAGGATAGTTATAGTTTGCTATAGAAGCAGTCAGGAGGTCAGGAGGAAAGCTGCACAGACCTGTTTACCCCATCTGCTGGTTCTCATTAACTTCACTTGTTTGGTTTCATTTGATGTTTCTATAACCCGACTTGAAACTGATTTTCACAAAACTGTACGTTTAATAATGTCTTTACAAATATTGTTGTTTCATCCTCTCTTTAATCCCATCATATATGGTCTGAAAATGAAGGAAATTAATAGACAGCTGAAGAGATTGTTCTGCAAACGTGTCTAATGCGTCACAACTGATAACTGAGTTCAGTGATGCTGTTGTGTCATAATAATGCAGAGATGTGATTTATCTAATCATTGCACGTTAGTTAATTTGTTTATTGTTGTATTATTGTTGTCTTAATGCATTCATTTACAGTGACAATCTCTTTATTTATGTATGGGACAACACAACATTCAGGCAGTACGTGATGATTGAAATTGTAAGCATGATGATATTTCATTACATATTGAAAAAGCAAAGACTCACATGGCAGTCGACTGTGTTGTCCATTGAATATCTTAAAGCAGGGGTGTACAAACTACGGCCCGGGGGCCAAATGCGGCCCGTAGTCCATTTTTGATTGGCCCGCAGCCAATTCTAAAAGTATAATGGAATCTGGACCCCACCTGAAACTTGTGCTTGTTTTATATTTTACATCTTAAATATATTACATGTGTTAATAAGCCACATTTTCAAATAAATTCAGTCAATTAAAGTTGAAAACATTTTCAAACTAATCTTAGTTGATGAAAAAAAAGGCCAACAACTGATTTGCAGAAGAAGCTTGAAATAGACCCTTCATATCTCCCCTTATTATGAGCTGTGGGGTGCCTCAGGGCTCCATATTGGGATCCTTCCTTTTCTCACTTTCAAAACTTGACTTGACTTATTATCAGCAATCTGAGGCTTCTGTTTTAAGGGATGAGCTACCAACAAAATAAAGTAAACCCTCTGGAGAGCTGAGTAAATGAGACTGCTTGTTTTCTTAAAGCATATTAAACTATCGAGCATAATTTACCTACACTTGATTCATTTTGCTAACTTATAACTTAACTTATGAGGCAATATACCTCACCTCTAGTGGGGGGCCCAACCCTTCTTATGTGTTTCTGTATGTGGCCCTCAGTGAAAAACGTTGGACACCCCTGTCTTATATCATCATTATATGTTTCCTATAGTTACAAAGGATACATGATAAGTTAACACATAATAAATACAGTAACAACAGCAAATGGTAAAACATTACAATTGTATTGAGGGGCCAAACACAAAACTCTCTGATCAAGAAGAAGGAAGACAGGTGGATCAAGTGCAACCAAAGTGGGATTTTATTATTTATATAAATACATACAGGCCAATATTACACACACATCTTTGTTCAGATCTTATTTTACAGCCTTTACTTTAGCATTCTTTGACTGTCCTAATTCCTAATATGGTGTCTAATGATATAAGAGTCATACAGGCAATGTGTGAGTTGACCCAAATGCCTAGTTCAGTTTTACTCTTCTAGTGGTGAAACCTGCAAAGCACATCACCAGGACGGAGCTGCCATCCATGAAGAACCTCTACTCCCAGCTGCTCAGGAAGAGAGCCCTCAGGTTTATGAAAGACCCCCATCACCCCAGCAACCAGTGGTGAACCGTCAGGGCCTTCAAGGTATTCAGAGAATACCCTGAAACACTCAGATAAAACAAATTATATATATAAAATGTAAATAAAATGAATACGGCGGGGTGTGTGTGTGTGTCTACAGAAGGTCCAGTTGTGATAGACACGGTTCGCCACTGTTGTTTTTATATATTTCTTTATGTCTTGTAATGGCACTGTTGAGAAACCTGCGATCTAAGTGTTTCATACATTACATAACTACAGTTTTGTATATGGTATGACAATAAATCTTTCATCTTGAATCTACATATCCACCCTCTGAGCCTGTTCTCTAATTACCCTAATCCATGAATACACATGCTACTATAATAACCTTGCATTTTCTAAATATAATAAACCACGCACACTTGCTATTGATTGCCTAGGGACAACGCCGAATATGCTGTGGGGAAAACACAAAACTCTCAGATCAAGAAGAAAGAAGACAGGTGGATCAAGTGCAGCCAAAGTGGGATTTTATTCAATGCAGAAACATATACAGGCCAACATTACAAAATCCTGCCTCTCTGTGTTCAGATGTTCTTGTATAGCCTTTACTCCACTATGTTTGTATATGTACATGTATGCACTGCATGACGGAGTCCAGAACAAATTTCCTTACGGGGACAATAAAGTATATCGTATCGTATCGTATCGTATCGTACTTAAGATTTTATGTACCAACATAATTCTTAATATTGTCTCTAATGATATCAGAGTCATACAGGCAATGTGTGACATCGCCGAACACCTTCCGCAATACACAATCCTAATTGTACTCTTCTAAAATATAGGAAACACAATCTAACTTGGTCAACATATTCCTTTTATATTTCAGCAGCAGGACCCTTCTTCAGAAATCTTAATATGACTCCTTTGATTTGAGGCAGACCCAGGCCATAAACGATAGGGTTATTGAGGGGGGGAATGATCAGATACTCTAAAGACAAAATAACTGTGATGCTTGGATTCAGTTTATCAGCCTCAAATCGAGTCAGAGACAGCTCGCAGAATAGAGAGATGGAGTAGGTCAAAAAGGTCACGATGTGAGGCAGACAGGTTTGTAACGCCTTTCCTCTGAACTCAGACGATCTCCTCCTGCAGACCAGCAGAATCCGTAGATATGTGTACAGGACAAAGAATAGGGGGATGAAGATAGTCGTCACCGTGACAAACTGTCCAGCTATGTTGTTCGGAGTGGTGTCCACACAGGAGAGCTGCACCACAGGCCAGTTAGAGCAGAAAATCCTGTTCAGTTTATTTCCACACAGCGGTAATTTAACACTAAGATAGACACACACACCGATAGCTAACACAGGGAAGAAAACAGCAACAAGCACAAGAAACTGTACCTTCTTAAACGTCATTTTACTGTGATAGTGTAAGGGCTGACAGATAGCAATGAATCTATCGTAGGCCATGATGGTGAGGATGGTCAGCTCACAGGAAGCATAGGTGTAAATAACATACATCTGAATAAAGCATAATGGATGTGAGACCAAATGAGAGTCAGAGAGGATGTCCTGCAGGAACCTGGGGAAGAATCCAGCTGAGCCATACAGAGAGTTTACACACAGACAGCTGATGAAAATATACATGGGCTGATGCAGAGACTTCTCCAGGAACACTGCCAGAATAATGACCATGTTAGCAGAGACTATAGTCACATAGATGAACAGACACAAGATGAAGAACAGGTATCTGAGGGGCCCAAAGTCTGCAAACAGAGTCAACTGAAAGTAGGGAGGGTTCAGGCTGCTGTTGCTCTTCATGTCTGCTCCAAAGAGAGGAACAATACAGGAACTGTTAATGAGAACTTCTTAGCTAAATGTCAGATATTAATACAAAATCAGCCTGCGTGCATGCATGTGAATTGCAAAATCTCCTACAGTTGTACGGGACAATATTAAATGTAAGTGCTAGGAAAATCTAATCTCCACATACACTACATGCAGCACGAATCTGGCATTTCTCAGTTATTTAAACAGGAGTTCACAGACTTATTCAGTCTGTCTATATCTGGATAAAAGGAGGAAATATGAATGCACAATAAAGGAAATGTTCTAAGCAAAATATCCTATTTCAACCCACAATAACCTGCATGCATGTGAATGGCAAACGGTCACAGTTGGACATGACAATATTAAATATCAATTCTATGTAACTGAAGAAGTGATGTACACAAAATAAGACAGGCTGGATAAATGTCACCTTAAAAAAGTTACAAACGGATGCTGGAAAAGAATTATTTAACAAGATTTTTGAAGCCTTGCTGAAGAAACAAATAATTCTTTTCCAGCATCCGTTTGTAACTTTTTAGGAATCTGACTATCTTTTAGAATTGCATCAAATGTTATAGCCACTTCTAAGATACGTTTTTTAAATGTTTTTCTCTCATCCTGCTATATTCCTTCCAGGGGAGGATCCCTGGGGATTGATCAGAGCAAAGAAAGGCTGTAAACACTGACACACTGACACACAAAACACTGAAACACTGAAACACTGCAACACTGAAACACAAAACACTGAAAACACTGAAACACTGCAACACTGAAACACTGACACACTGAAAACACTGACACACAAAAACACAGAAACACAGAAACACAAAAACACTGAAACACTGAAACACAAAAACACTGAAACACTGAAACACAAAACACTGAAAACACTGAAACACTGCAACACAAAAACACAGAAACACAGAAACACAAAAACACTGAAACACTGAAACACTGAAACACAAAACACTGAAAACACTGAAACACAAACACACTGAAACACTGAAACACTGACACACTGAAATACTGACACACAGAACACTGAAACACTGAAACACTGAAGCGCTGAAACACTGACACACTGAAACACTGAAAACACTGAAACACTGAAAACACTGAAACACTGAAAACACTGACACACTGACACGCAAAACACTGAAACACTGCAACCCTGCAACACTGACACACTGACACCCAAAATACTGAAACACTGCAACACTGACACGCAAAACACTGAAACACTGCAACCCTGCAACACTGACACACTGACACCCAAAATACTGAAACACTGCAACACTGACACGCAAAACACTGAAACACTGCAACCCTGCAACACTGACACACTGACACCCAAAACACTGAAACACTGACACACTGACACACGACACTGACACACTGAAACACTGACACACAGAACACTGAAACACTGAAGCGCTGAAACACTGACACACTGAAACACTGAAAACACTGAAACACTGAAAACACTGAAACACTGAAAACACTGACACACTGACACGCAAAACACTGAAACACTGCAACCCTGCAACACTGACACACTGACACCCAAAACACTGAAACACTGCAACACTGACACGCAAAACACTGAAACACTGCAACCCTGCAACACTGACACACTGACACCCAAAACACTCAAACACTGAAACACTGCAACACTGACACACTGACACACTGACACAGAACACTGAGGCCCCGGCTCCACGAGAACGGAAACTGGTTGAATCCGCATATTTCTCATGCGTATAGCCCTCTAAGCTCCACGACGCCGTAAGGGAAACGTAGAAACAGACC